ATATATTTGTATATTTATCCATGTAATTAGACCAGTAGGTCTGTTTGGATACAAATAAATAAATATTGACGGTGATAAATTTTCAAATTGTCATCCCGTTGACTCTCACAATCATTCACCAAATTTTCTTTCAGGGAAAAATCTTTGGGCGAGTTTAGTAACGAAGAGACCATTGACCATCTTGACAAACTTCTTAGAGAGTATGAAGAAATGAAACATTCTTTCGACGAAGCACTGAAAAATAGTAAAACGTACGTAGCCATCACACCGGGGGACATTGAAAGCAGCATTAACGACTTATTCAAACTCAAGCACAATGGCGAAAGAATCAGGAAACTTTATCAGTGCCAGAATAAAACCAGATCGAAGGAATTTAGAAATGAAGAATATGTTTATGCCGTCCCCAACAAGAAAAGAGAATCGTCGTGGTTTTTAAAAACCAGAAAATGAGGAGGCGAGTAATTTCAATGTTTCGATAGTTCGTGACATCATCGTTTTCTTTAGATATAATTTACTCATATCAGTAGGTACCCTCAATATTTTATCATAAAATATAAAAACAAATCTCATTATGATGATTACGTTTTCATTTGATGTACTCTTAAGTCACTTCTATTATTATTGGGATCATAATAAATCTGTAATATTCTAACAATATTTTACTTATTTAGTGCCAGTTCCCATACATTATTCATTTCTTTTTATTCAAATTTGTATTCCTACTTGTTGAAAAACCAATAGTATCATGAAGAAAATATATGTTGTAGGTATACATCTAACGTTTCACTCTCCCTAAAAACTATTTTCAGAATATATCCGTGAGTTGAAACAAACACTTTTTCATATACGAGTTCCATTAACTAAAATGGTGTCAAGTTGGTGAAAAATTAAAGTAATGTCACAAAAATAAGCAAGAAGAACTACATTCAAGTAATACCTCATTGTAAGATTTTCACTGGTCAGTTTACAAAATATTAACACATGTTTTGCTATACTATAGCTTCCCCGAGCGTTCTTACACAAAACACGCGTTGACTGTCTCGGAGACAATATAGTTGCTAATTCTATAGCAAAAGGGCCGGCAACTTGGGAACAGTGTCAGCCTCTTCGTTTTCACAACAGATGGCGGAGGTGTCAAAGGGCAGGTCGCAGTAGACGTTCGATACGGCAAACCATCATTCGCAGCAGTATCGTCTAGCCTTGCTGCTCCTGCTGTTTCCAAGAGAGATGCTTCGCCAGCCGCTGTGATATTCCCGTCGTCAACCGTTTCTGGACCCGACGTACTGTCCAGTAGAGAGTTTTTGATTTCCTCTTCTTTCTATCTAGTCTTCTCAGGCTGCTTTGTATCCTATTTAGCCGTAGATAGGCTGGCTATGAAAGTGACAGAGCTGCTCGTATTGCCAGCAAGGAGACCAGTCAATGAGTTTCTCCTTTTGCTACATCCCGCACTTCCGCCAGAAGCATGTCGTATAATGGTTTGCCACACGCTTATGGCGTATCTGGTCTGGACCTCCTCCGGGATGCGGACCTGCACCTCTTTGTGCAGGTCCGCATACTTCTCGGTGTTACCACATTTTTCTTATAGTATCACCCCCTCTAGGTTTCATAATGCTTACTACAGTGGATACAGTACTGTCTGACTCCACACGTTTGTACACATTTTCCACACTGATATGGATTCATTGTTGCCTGGGGGAGATCTTGTTGACCGTTAGAAATATGGCCGCAATCTTAGGGTTAACTTAACCCCCTCTTAGCGATCCCAGGCCAGGGCCCGACGTTGCTTGCGTCTGAGAGCCGATAGGAAGTTTTTCTCCAGCATTCACAACTCCGCTCGCGGTCGCGGACCCGCTACGCGGGTCGGAGGTAGTAGCAGGTGACTTGTTCCTTTTGTCAATCTTCCTTTGGAAGAAGAAGGTGGCACTGCAGCCTTTGGATTACCTTCTTTCAAAATAATTTGGTGCTCGAAGTTCCTGGTGCGGCGTCACCCCTACTTCTCAAGTTAAAACTAGAAGTAAAAGGAAGGAAGCATAAGTAAAAGTTCACCCCTAGTCCCATCACAGGGCACCTTTATACAAGTAACAATGTATAATGTATATCTATTTATATACTCAAATTCGAACAAATCTCAAAATGGAATTTCAATGCTAATCTCTTGTATGTATATACACCTACGACTTTGTAATTACATGTGGCAGATATCCGGCGAAACAACAACAACTAACCCAGTTAATTCCGCACAGAAAGCTGAAGTAAAACCATCAGGCACCTGTGCAACATCTTCCATTTGGAAGATTCATCGCAAGTAACTTCTTATATATGGAAAGCCAGAAATTAATTTCATTTCATCGGGACGACCACCGATAGATCGGTTTCGGAGTACTTGCTCCTCGTCAGTACCAGGAAGGTCATTTCAAACGGAGTAAAACGTCTTGAGTATCCCGAACAAACAAAATTAAATCCAACCAGTCATACGCTGTATCTGCAGTTGATTCAGTAGGATGTCCACTGCGCCAAACCAGAAAAGTTCCGGAAACAACTCCACAAACACACACTCCGGGGTGGCAGTCAAAATAATAAACATATTCGGGAGAGGTGATAACCACCTTACCCCTTGCCTCTCATGTGAACCTACCACTTTGTAGGTACGTGTGGCAGATACCCGGCGGAAAAACAACTAACCCAGCTAATGCCGCGCAGAAAGCTGGAGTGAAACCATCAGGCAACATCTATGAAAAGACGAAGACGTTGCACAGGTGCATGACGGTTTTACTTCAGCTTTCTGTGCGGCATAAGCTGACAGTTGTTGTTTTTCCGTCGAGCATCTGCCACACAAACCTACAAAGTCGTAGATTCACATGAGAGACAAGTGTAAGTTGGCAAGATATCGGTTGACTTATGCATGTTCTTTGCTTGGTAGCTGGTACCTTTCAAATTCAGCTACCAAGCTGAACATATTAATATGGCAGGTGGGTCTCTTCATTCATGGTGACTTATGATTTGTAAAAAACATTTTATTTTATGGAGTTTTTTATTGATTAACAAATATAATGTATCTTATTGTGAAGTCTCATAATGTATTCAACAAGTTGCCTACCGTAGGGCTGAAACCAATTTAATAATCAACACTTTTGCGAAATCCTTATTTCTTTACTATAATTCGAAAATAGTAAGCACTAAATTCTCAGAAATGACTGACGTTTTTGCCTTAACCTGTCTCTTGCAGTGGCGTATGGAAATTATACTGAACAGATGAGGAAAAACGATGATGAAATATATAGAATCACAACCGTGACAACAATGTTTTCATTTTAATGCAATAATATTTCTGAGAATTCAGTGCCTTCTATTATGGAATTGAATTATAGTAAAATATTTGCAAAAAAATGACCGAAACGACAGCCAACGTGTGAACTAACTTTGAGGAAACTTCTGTATGAGGAAATTAACATTTCCTTTTTTTAAAGATATCAACATGTTTTTCAGTCCGAGTGTTTTTTCGACTTGGAAAAGTTGGGAAATTTCGGGCCGTGAAGGTAGAAAAAATAATAGTAGAAAACAATAAGCACAATATTATTTAAGTGTTGTTTCCTTTAATTTGTATTGAATATTCCTATACATGGTGGAAGACCAAGGACCTTGATCCAAAGTAGAATAATTCCCATTATTATTTTTATAATCACCAAAATGTATTTTTGTTTGTGCATACCCTAACGGGCATAAGCATTCAGCCAATCGTTGGATAGCTAAGTAAGGAAGTTAATATATTATAGTAGTAATACTAATCCCACGGCTTTCATTTCTTCGAAAGTTGGGAAATTTTGCTGGTGCGGTTGGGAAAATTTGGATTCCCCCCCTGGTTTTTATTTTCGCTACGGCTCTGCCGGGAGACTTTCGTTGACACATATCAACAATACTCACCAGGGAAGAAACCATTGCCATATTTGTGAAAACTAACTGTCATAACTCGGTCAGTCACATAAAAAGCTTCCTGAACACCGTCGCCATGATGAACATCAATGTCAATGTACAAGACTCTTGGATGGTATTTCAGTAATTCCAAAATTGCAATAACTATGTCATTAACATAGCAAAAACCTGAAGCCCCAAATTTTTTAGCATGATGTAAACCTCCTGGAAGTTCAAAAATGTCAGCAAGCTGTCAAAGGGATAAATATTCAGTAACACGAACCTGACCAGTTGATTGCAATGTCACAATCATTGTTATTCAATCTTATGGCACCTTCAAGAGAAGCGCCTGTATACATTGAACAAAAATCAAAAAGGCCATCGAATACAGGGCTATCATCACCCATGTTATAGTGAATTAGTTGCTTATTTAAAGATTCACTATTTTGTGGAGTAACTTTCTGGAGAAAATCTTGAAAAAAATTAAAATATCAGACGGTAAAAACAGCAATTTGATAGAAATGTTTGCCAAAAAATAAAACAATTCTGTTTGAAACTTTCGACAATTTCTTTTTAATCTATCTTCTTATTACTTTGATTATACCTAGTACAATCGTTCATATAAAATACCTTAATCTTCAAAACCATAGATACTTCAAAAATATAAGGGTATAATATACCCATCTAGGTTGTATTACTTGAATGAGAATTGGTTAAAATTGTTTTTTTATCAACCAGTACAGTAACCCTCAGAAGTCTAGACTTTTGCAAACTACATCAACGGGGTTCTATCACCCAAAATTATCACCTTACCTATGTATTCATTACAATGAAATCTACACATATCATATACAGTAGCTTTATAAGGCCTGTAAATCTGCATATGTTTATGAAGACCATAATTTAAAATCAAACTATTTATAACTGAGAGCCTGTGGGGCTTCATAGGGTGAAATGGTCCATAATGAAAGTCTCCAACGTCTGGATTGAAAAAATACGACACCTTTTTTTTGGACATTATGCTTCTTAAACTTTTTGTGAACTGACAATGTTCAATTCGTGCCGTTAGTCGTCGTTATGCCCAAAAATTTTTTAACAACCCCAAATACATAAGAACAAGCACCACTGCCAGTAAACGTTTCGTTGTTCTAAATATATCATTCATGTGTTCGATTATTAAAATACTCATCATTCTAATGAACTTTTTAATAGTTTGTCGAAATAAAAAATATAAAAAAGTAAGAACACTTACATTCTGTTTTTTGTTTACTAACATTTAATATTTAATCTAACCCCTTTCCACTCTTCTTCTATATAATTTTTGGGCATAATCATTAGGCCATTGATCCAGATTATTATTTAAGTAAGATGCGTAGGAACCCTGGTGTTTTTACCAATTCGGTTTTGTTTTGTCAAAATCTCTCAACGCTGGAAATTCTCTATCCAATACTTTTCTATTGTAGGAAATCGAATCAACCGTTCCCGAGTAATTATCACTTTAATAATCTGCAAATAAACTGTAAATATCCAAATTTCAATAAAGAAATATTAAAACCTCACTTCAGTCCATTCTAATAAATGATCAAAGTATTTATCATCCACTTCCTGACAATAATGAAGTCTACACGTTTTTTCTTCCTTATGAAATGTTCCCCAAGCACCTATTACGGTTTTGATTTTCTACCATCCGTGCGAACTTATATCATCTGAAGACTAAACTAAATATGTCGAGTTGAATTTTTAGAAGCATTGTTTTGGGAAAATTTGGATGAAAGGATTTCTGATTTTTTCACAATAAGGGTCTCCTAAATATAAAATCAATTGGAAGTTTAATATTCACAACATATGAATATTCTCTTCGAATAATATTACTCTTTATGAATAGTTATCAAAATATATCAATTCACAAATGAGCAGGTGGTGAACGTTTGCACATTTTTTATTTATTACATTTCATTGGGAACATGGCAATATGACTTTATGTCAAATCAAATAACCGAAAGTGAATACTTTTTTTAAAGGTTATGTTGTCTTGTAGTATTTTTCGGCTTTATGGTTAATATATGAATATTTTCAAATAAAAGTATATATAGTGTGCTTCGTAATTATTTTTGTCTCCAGTGTTAGAAATATTATATCGTCTTTTAAAAATGGATGCAGATCTTTATGATGAATTTGGTAACTATATTGGACCCGAATTGGACAGTGATGATGATGAGGAAGAGGAACAAGAACAGCTTGATGATAATGAACGTGAAGAATATGATGTATGTCCTCACTATTCGTCTAGGTAACATACATTTTCTAATTACATTTCATTTTAGGAAGAGCAAATGGAAGATGATCCCCAGCCAATGGCTATCGTTCTTCATGAAGATAAACAATATTATCCTTCAGCCTTACAAGTTTATGGTCCTGATGTGGAAACGATTGTACAAGAAGAAGATGCACAGGCTTTAGATGTACCATTGGTAGAACCTGTGAAAAAGAAAAAGTTTCAACTGAAAGAGCAGGATCTTCCGGAGACGGTTTACAGTATGGAGTAAGTTCATGCAGTTTGGTTCACAGGTGGATCAAAAGCACCTTCAGGTTTTGGAAAGAGATATCAACCTGTCTACTGACTTAAGCAATAGTATTCCAAATGAAAATTTATGCTTTTGATAATTGGTAGAATATAATAGAACTTTTATTGCACCCATTACACAGTTACATAGTATTGAATTACATCTACCTACATGTTTTTAACCATTTTGATCAGTTGCATTTGTCAATCAACCCTCAACATTAAATTTGTTCATCAAATTCAAATTGCATTATTCTTCTTTAAAACAAATCTCAACTCTTCATTGCAGATTTTTGGCAGATATGATGGATAACACATCACTCATTAGAAATGTTGCTCTAGTAGGTCATTTGCACCATGGAAAAACTTCTTTTGTTGATTGCTTGATAAGGCAGACTCATCCTGGTTACCAAGATAATGAGGAAAAGAACTTGAGATATACGGACATTCTTTTCACTGAACAAGAAAGGGGATGTTCCATCAAATCAATTCCGGTTACTCTGCTACTGCAAGATATCAAGAACAAGAGTTATCTCATGAATATTTTCGATACGCCAGGTAAGACAATCGCAGTTTGCTCTCCGATAATGGATGATTGAATTTTTTGTTGTTTCAGGTCACGTAAATTTCTCTGACGAGGTTACTGCTGCTATGAGATTATGTGATGGTATTGTACTTTTCGTTGATGCAGCTGAAGGAGTCATGTTGAATACGGAACGTCTTCTGAAGCACGCTGTGCAAGAACAGATGCAAATAACCATATGCATCAATAAAATAGATAGACTTATTTTGGAACTCAAGCTACCTCCTCAAGATGCGTACTATAAATTGAGGCACATTGTTGAAGAAATAAACGGTCTCCTCACGTATGATAACTTCTAATCGAAACCTCAGGTCTTTTCATTAACAATTCTGATTTCCAGGTTATACTCAGATGATGCTAATCCTCACATAGTGTCACCAGTACTGGGAAATGTTTGCTTCGCTAGTTCACAATATGGTGTTTGCTTCACCCTCAAGTCATTTGCAAACATTTACAATTTATACAATGGGGAAGTCAACGTGGAGGAGTTTTCCAAACGTCTCTGGGGAGATATTTATTTCAATAATAAAACGTGAGTCAGTATTCTAATTGTTGAGGTTGTTACCCTGCTTCAATTGAAAACAAAGATTTATATGACTAAGCGCTTGCTATTATTTATTATTGTCAACTATTGAATGTTGTAATTTTGAGTAGAAGTGTACATCCAAACAGGACGCCATGAAAAAAAAACATATTAGATCTCGTGACATATGCTTGGCTGGGACAGCGTAAATGTCACAATAACTTTTCTTGTTTAACCTAATCAATAGGACTACTTGTAGAGTAAAAATCATCAAATGGATGATTTGACAGAGAAAAAGTTGATCAAAAATAACAAGCTTTCACGGTAATGATGAACATGTGAGTAAACACAAAAGAATCAGTTACCAATGAAATTATTGACAAGTGAAAGATGTACTGTGAATGCCATCTGGTTCAAATTCAGAACAAATAGAGGTATCCAGGTTATTTGCTGCCTATCTCCAGTGTATCACACAAAACATGACCTATGATATTATGTAGTATATTATGAATTTAAAATTACCTATGGAATTATTTATTCATTTATTCGGTATAAACGGGAAAACTCTAAATTTCAAATTTGTAAAATGTACATGTATAAAAATATACTTCAATTCAAAAACAGTTACAAAATTCATGTGAATATTGAAATATATAGAATAAAAAACAACTTTAAAACTAAATGCTAAATAAAACAATTATAACTAACACCAGCACCAAAAACTAACAAACATACAAGGCATAAAACTATAGACTTTACACATAAGTGACTGCAGACTTTTTGAAGACCTCCCTTGACATTCTTGACATTATATTATTAAATCCATGATTGGTAAAATGTGAGTTCTCAACAAAAACATCTCTATCATCCCTTGTTGCTCTTTGCTTGGCCCTCAGGCCAACCAAAGAGAGAAGTTCTGGGAATTAGTTTGGCCTGACAATATCTTCAATAGAAATATTAAGAAACTAACCGAGAAAAAGCTACTGTGATAGCAAAAATTTGTGAAGATCAAATCGCAAGGTGTAGTTTACGATATTAAAACTAAACTGTGGACTGCATACCCGAGTAACACCAGTGTTACTCTAGGAGACAGTGTATTTAGGTATTCATATTGATGCTAGACTTAGTTGGTCCAGCCATATTGAAGCAACTACTTGTAAGCTGTCTAGTGTTTTATTTGTTCTTAGACAGTTGAGAAATGCTTTAGATTTGTTGACACTGAATCATGTTGTAAAGCTGTGATAAATCCTGTTCTTATGTTTGTTGACCTTTTTATATTGAGATCTTTATTTTATTACCATTAATGTGACACTGTGATCATTTCAAGGAATTCTGATGTGTCAGTTTTATTTATTTCTAAAATTTATTCCTTTAATCTAGAGACGTTGCTTATTTTAAGTGTCTGACATAGTACCTATAGTATATATGACGTGTCAATAATTTAATTTTGTTATAAAGTGGTCAAATAAAGTACTGTACTTTACTCTCTTTTCAATAAGAATATCGTTTTTTTCACAATTTAAGTACACTTTGATTGATTGATTAGCCAAAGAATATGATTTATTAAGTCTATTTGAAAGAAGTTTTTCTGCTCGGTTCATTCTTCACCAAACATTGTGTCGATACTTGTATATATGTGAGGTTTAATTTGAATACCTTTTGTGAAAATTTTCAGCCGAAAATTTACAAAGAAAGCTCCCCACAACTCGGCTCAAAGAAGTTTCGTAGAGTTCATATTGGAACCTCTATATAAAATATTTGCCCAAGTAATAGGTGATGTAGATGGTTCTCTACTAGATGTCTTGGATGAACTCGGAATTAAAATGACTAAAAACGAAATGAAACTCAACATAAGACCGTTGCTGAGACTGGTTTGTGGAAAATTTTTGGGCGACTTCAATGGTTTGTGGTGAGTTATTTCAATGAGTGAGAAAAATCATTGAGATTTTTTTAGGCTTCGTCAATATGTGTGTCGAGCATATAAATTCTCCTCTGGATAACGCCAAGAAAAAAGTTAATCACATCTATACTGGTCCTAACACAAGTAAGGTATATGATGACATGGTGAACTGCGATCAGGAGGGATTGCTGATGGTTAGTTCGTTTTTTATTTAATCGAAGCCTTCCTCATTAATGTGTCGAAGCTAGTTCCCGGGTTTTTTGGTCTTGGTCTGCGAGTTTGTGTGCCTGACGTTTCGTCTACTACTGCGGCATACATTATCAAAGGCCAAAATCCAATTGATTGAATCCAATTGAGACGAATCGAAGCCACGAATACCTATGATATAATGCTGCTGTGCTGGGAACAACTCGAACACCTCGACCGTTCTCATCGCCTTTGGTAATGTCTGCCGCAGTAGTAGACGAAACGTCGGGCATAAAAACCTGCAGACCACGGGCAAAAAACCCTGAAAATAGCTTTGACACATTTCAGGCCATGAAGATTTACATTCTTTGATCCTCATTCTTATTTCAGGTGCACAGTTCAAAGATGTATCCGACTGAAGATTGCACTTTTTTCCAAGTACTTGGAAGGGTGATGAGTGGAACTTTACATGCTGGTACAGATGTGAGAATCTTGGGAGAAAATTATACTCTGCAAGATGAAGAAGATTCCAGGATACTCACAATTGGAAGGTTGTGGATTTACGAGTCCAGGTGAATTTCTGAAAATTTTTCATACACATCTACCTGATATTTTGAATGACGGATCTGAACGTGACCCCTTCTCGGTCATTTGATAGCTTGTTTTTCATTTGGTGGAACTTCCAGTAACAAATTTTTTCAATTGAGAAATGAATTTTCCTTGCAGAGATCACCTAAACTAATGTGCATTTGATGGGGTCTCTGTTATAGATAGAGACCTCTTCAGGTCTTTAATCTCTGCACTATTAATTCTAACAGTCCTATACTAAAACTCAGCTACTGTGAAACTTTTCAAAATTATGTTCAACATACATTATTAAAGTTGCATAGCAAGCTTTACAAACAACTTAGTTTTTCCAATCATCTATTCGCTGTGCTTAGGACAATGAAGCGGAAAGTGCTGTGGTGAATTCAACATAAAATTATTTGTGATTCAATTAGACCTGCATTGTTGAAACAATTCTTTAGTTATCTTCTCAACTAGGCGGTATAGCATACGTCAAATTTTATGTCACATTTCAAAAAATGAATGAAATTTATGCAGAATCAATGTAAAGAGTAAAAAAAATTCTTTCCATCAGTATATATCACAACATAGTAGAATAAATATTTATTGAGATGTGTAACTACAAAAACACATAACATTGAACGGACAAAACCTTTGAAACAACCTTATATCAGTCTAACCTCAAGAACAAAATGACTTCCGGTTTTGATTCCATACCATCTTTCATAGTGAAAGACTGTAGCTCAGTCTTAGCTTCTCCCCTCTGTTACCTCTTTAACTTATCGTTAAATACAGCAACGTTTTCTGATGTTTGGAAACTTGCCAAAATTTGCTCAATTTTAAAGAACGGGAATGTTTCAAACATATCAAACTACAGAGCAATTTCAATTATCTCAAACTTCGCGAAGGCGTTTGAAATTATCTTGTATAAGCACATTTACTTGTCAACACACAACCAAATAAGTGAAGTTCAACATGGTTTCATGAACCACCGCAGCACTGAATCAAATCTAGCACTGTTTTCCCACTCCGTGTGCTCAACATTGGATAATCAAGGAACGACTGACGTATCGTAATGAGAGAAGATTTTTTGCAAAATGAACAGCTAGCTTCGATGTCTATTTACTTATAAGAGTTATGTAACTTCAAAATATTATTTTTCAAGGACCTTTTTTAATATGCCTTGACGAGACCAAGTAAATAATTTTTGTTGCCAACATAAAAATATTTGTGCACAGCATTGTTTATAATTATAATTTGTTATAGATATAAAGTTGAACTCAACAGAGTACCTGCTGGAAATTGGGTTCTGATAGAAGGTATTGACCAATCTATAGTAAAAACTGCTACAATCACTGACTTAACAATTTATGACGAACTTTATATATTCCGACCTCTGAAATTCAACACGCAAAGTATAATCAAAATAGCAGTAGAACCCGTCAACCCATCGGAACTTCCAAAGATGTTGGACGGTTTGCGTAAAGTCAATAAATCTTATCCGTTGCTAACCACAAGAGTTGAGGAAAGCGGAGAACATGTGGTTCTAGGAACTGGTGAATTGTATTTGGATTGTGTGATGCATGACCTCAGAAAAATGTATTCCGAGATTGACATAAAAGGTGAGAATTATAAGTGACTTTTTGAATCATGAATTTATTCATGATTCGAAATCAGATAAACTATAACAAGACCAATATGTTTTTGCAGTTTCATGATATAGAATATGACCTAACTGTTAACAATTTGTGCCTATTATTTAGTTAGCTCACTTTTCAAGTTGGGTTTTCTATAACTTGAATTACATGCGTAGAACATTCAAAGGTTATATGAAACAATCTATCAATATTACATAAATGTCTGGGAATTTTCCAAAGAAAGGAAGAACGTAATCTATTTCAAAAATTAACTCTATACAAAGATCATGCAAATATCTACACATCTCGAAACAACAAGTATGTATAAACCATTGAAATTTATAAGGAATTGATGGATTTTTATAAAAAAGAAACATTTTATTGTGAGTTTTTCACTAAATACCTTACAATAGCTTATTCAGACATGTCCATTCTGAGTTAATGCAAGTTAGTAGGAACACGTCTAAACAAGCTATTGTCTAGTGAAACACATGTTGAACTTTTGTAAACAGTTCAGTGAATGTCTCAGAAAGTGTTAGTTGAATACATACATGTTTTTTCTCTCTACCATGTCATTCCTTTCTCACTCACATACACACACATTGCCATTTGTCTCAGTCTTACACATGTCAATGATGTCCTTTCAATATACCACCATGTTTGTTTTTTCTTTGTCAGTATATTCAATATCCCTGCCTTTTTATTATTTGATGTTCTTATGATGCACTGTTTGGAACCTTTGGTGTAGTAATGAATATTACTGGAGTTTTTTCCCAACAAAAACACATAACATTGAAC